ATTTATTTTTAAAATGTTGCTGTGCCTAACAGTGAAATCTTGTTCCAGTTGGATCTGAGTCTCAAAGTTAAGACCAGAGTTTCTTCTAGGCATCTCTTCGAAAAAATTTTACCGCCTGCCCCCCCCCCCCCCCCCCCCGAACGAAATATAATTTGTATAATTTATATAGAAAATATATACTTTTAACAGTGTCCGCCCCCCGAAGAAAGTTTACCGCCCCCCCCCCCCCCCCGAAATTTCAAGTGCCCCCCCGGAGAAAAAAGTCTGGAAGAAACACTGATGACCAGAGTTTCTTTCAGGTATTTCTTCGGGGGGGGGGGGGGGGAGTCTACCGCCCCCTCGAACGAAATGGAATTTATATAGAAAAAAAATATACTTTTACCAGTGTCCCACCCCCCCCCCCCGGAAAAAGTTGACCGCCCCCCGAAAATATCAAATGCCCCCCCCCCCCGTCCTGGAGAAAAAAATCTGGAAAAAACACTGGTTATGACCGTTTTACCGTAGACGCGATCTGAAAGGGATTTTAAGACACTCGACTATTCGAAATATAGATTGGTATTTTACTGGTAGTAAGAAGTAACAATAAAAATGCATATTTTGGAATATAGGAAGGCAATTTATTTCAAAATCGTCCCTTTAGTACTATCCACCGCTTACCATATACAGCAAAGGCGTAGGGAGGGGGGGGGGGGTGATGGGGGGGGGGGAGGGCCGCACCGGGTGACACCATTTAGCGGGTGACACCAAAGCAAAAAAATTGCAAAATGTACAGAAGAAAATTTTTTTTTTTTTTTTTTAATAGAAATAGAAGGTCTCGAGTTCAAATCCGGATTAATGTCCCTCCCTGGGTAAACCCAGCTCTGATGTGTAGCTAACTCACGTTAGGAAAACATAAGGCGGCTGGGTATAGCGCTGACCAGACTTTCACTTCATTTGCCTTTTTTTTTTGCTGTAAAATGGAACTTTACAACTACACGAAAAAACACCATGAACTGACGAAAAACAACATTCAACTGCAACAGATGGAACCATATGGAATTACCATACAGGTGAATATAAATTCATTCATTTATGCTTTTTTATGACAACGGACAGACAATTATATAGGCCTACATTAAATATTGCTTAGGTCGGACATATGGAATTATAACACGGATGAATGGAAATTACTTCATTTATAATCAGGTGACAATGGAAGAAAAAAACATATACATTTAATATGAATTTGGGGAGGGGGATAGGTTCAGCCCCCCCCCCCCCCCAACGAAATGGAAGTTATATAGAAAACATACTTTTACCAGTGTCCGCCCCCCCCCCCGAGAATATCAAGTCCCCCCCCCCCTCGGAGAAAAAATTTGGAAGAAACACTGGTTAACCTGACCTGAATATCGCTAAATATCGTACCAAAAGACTTTCACTTTTTGATTGGCTAAATTAAATGTATTTGATAAAAGTATTAACACTGTTTATGAGGAAAAACAGCTACAAATATAGATGTTAACATGCTATTTATGGCTTATAGTTTTCTTACAGCATTTACGTTCGATACTTACTTTGCTTATGTTTATTTTTAGAATGCTCAGTTTATTTACGGCTTCATTTCTGGGGAAGAGTAAAATATTATTATTAGTATTTTTTAAATTATTAGTTGACACTATATCCTAAATTTACCCATATTTACATACTTTTAAGCCGGCTTACTTATCTTGATAAAGTTACCTGTTATTAGAGCAAAGTTTAGCTATTGTAAGAACGAAACCAACAGCCGCAAGGAACATCATAAGTATCTCTATGGTGCTCAGCTTGTCTCCTTTTTGTGGGATAAAGCGGAGCTTATCCACTGTAGCTAGATTTGATAAATTAAAAGCGATGCGCTTTTGTATAGCTGTGAAAATGATATTAAAAGTTATATTATTTTAAATACATATAAATCTATACGTGTTCAGATACGTCTCTTTTATATAAATTAAAAAAAAGATACATACATACATACATACACACACACACACACACACATATATATATATATATATATATATATATATATATATATATATATATATATATATATATATATATATATATATTATATATATATATATATATATATATATATATATATATATATATATATATATATATATATATATATATATATATATATATATATACTAGCCGTCCCGGCCAGGCCCTGCTCTGGCTTCAGTGAAAAACCTTTCTGTTAAAGACCATTACCTGTGTGTTTAGTAATCATCATAAACCCGGTATTGCCCACCCAAACCACAACCAACCAAAACAACACAACGCAAACATAACGCTAACACAATTACAAATACAAACGAAAACAAAAACCTAACAACAAACCCAACCACAACAACAAACACCAATACAAACACAAAGAAAAAACAAACAAAAAAGCAAACGAAAACAAAAACCTAACAAACCCAACCACAAACACCAATACCAACAAAAAAAAAACGAAAAAGCAAACGAAAACAAACCAAATCCAAACGCAAAACCAACCAAAAAACACAAATACAAACCCAAACAAAAAAACACAAACAAAAACGAAAAAAGAAAGAACAAAAACGAACCAAATCAAAACGCAACCACTAACTCAAACCCACCTAAACACAAAGAAAACACTAACGCGAACATAAACGCCCGGGGCGGAATCACCTGTTTTAGCTTAATGAACGACTATAGTACCCCAACTTATTCATAGTCTTTTGCACTCACTTAAACGAACGCGCCTGTTTCAATTTAATGAACGATTATAATACTCCAAGCTGATCCGTAAAATACCTACAACATTTGCACTTGATCAATCCCCGCTAATTATGTAATTATTTTTTTTTCCCAACACCAAAACAAAGTAATTAAAAATAAATTCTTTTCCACAAAATGCAATGGTTTTATAAAGGGAAGTAATTGTGTTTTCCTAATTTATCAAAGGGAAGTAAGTGCTATAGGACTAAATAAAGACATAGTTAGAATTTTTGTAAAAGATGATATTTTTTTAAAACTTGTGTTTAATGAACATGCCGACAATTATTACTATAATTTGAAAAATGAAAATTAGTTCCCAACACTTTCAATAGTAATTTTTTAACTTATAAATTTAGACAAATGCGCACGATAATTGTCTAACACTAAAATCCATCCAAGACCAACGACAAACATATGCGTTACATACAGAACTGAGCTTTATATATTAGACTAGCCGTCCCGGCCAGGCTCTGCTCTGGCTTCTGTGAAAAACCTTTCTGTTAAAGACCATCACCTGTGTGTTTAGTAATCATCATAAACCCGGCATTGCCCACCCAAACCACAACCAACCAAAACCAAAACAACAAAACGCAAACATAACGCTAACACAATTACAAATACAAACGAAAACAAAAACCTAACAACAAACCCAACCACAACCACAAACACCAATACAAACACAAAGAAAAACAAACAAAAAAGCAAACGAAAACAAAAACCTAACAACAAACCCAACCACAACCACAAACACCAATACCAACACAAAAAAAAAACAACGAAAAAGCAAACGAAAACAAACCAAATCCAAACGCAAAACCAACCAAAAACACAAATACAAACCCAAAGAAAAAAAACACAAACAAAAACGAAAAAAGAAAGAACAAAATCGAACCAAATCAAAACGCAACCACTAACGCAAACCCACCTAAACACAAAGAAAACACTAACGCGAACATAAACGCCCGGTATGGAATCACCTGTTTTAGCTTAATGAACGACTATAGTACCCCAACTTATTCATAGTCTTTTGCACTCACTTAAACGAACGCGCCTGTTTCAATTTAATGAACGATTATAATACTCCAAGCTGATCCGTAAAATACCTACGACATTTGCACTTGATCAATCCCCGCTAATTATGTAATTATTTTTTTTCCCAACACTAAAACAAAGTAATAAAAAGTAAATTCTTTTCCACTAATGCAATGGTTTTATAAAGGGAAGTAATTGTGTTTTCCTTATTTATCAAAGGGAAGTAAGTGCTATAGGACTAAATAAAGACATAATTAGAATTTTTGTAAAAGATTATATTTTTTAAAAACTTTTGTTTAATGAACATGCCGAAAATTATTATTATCAGTTTGAAAAATGAAAATTATTTCCCAACACTTTCAATAATAATTTTTTAACTCATAAATTTAGACAAATGCGCACGATAATAGTCTAACACTTTAATCCATCGAAGTATGTCAACGACAAACATATGTATTTTTACATACAGAATTGAGCTTTATATATTAGATATATATTCGTATGTGTGTATTCTGCATGTTTATGTTTAACTATTTGCACAGGTATAGGCATGAGACGACGTGGCCTAGAGGTAGAGCTACCAACTCTAGTTAGTTAAAAATGGTGTTCGAATCCGAATTCAGGTTAGTGGAACGTCCTTGAGTCCACATCCAGCTCTTATTGGTAGCTAACTCACGTTCGGGAAAGTAAAGCTGTGTTTTTTCCAGACTTTTTCTCCGAAGAGGGGGGGGGGGGAAGGAAAGGTTACTTGCAATTTTCGGGAGGGTGTGACACTAGTAAAAGTATATATTTTCTGTATAAATACTTTTTTGTTTGGGGGGGGGGGGGGGGCGGGGCGAAGACGATTTTTGGGGGGGGGGGGGGGGGAGACGGTTTTTGGGGGGGGGGGGGGGGGTGGGGAGGGGAGTCATAAAATTATGACAATTGCACGTGGCTATTGAAACTTAACAAAAATATTTACGACACGTTGTGTTATTAATTTTTACACTGACCGTGACAGCGAAAATTATACTGTAGAAATTTCGCAAAAGCATATTCATTGAACATATAAATTGTTAACGGTACTGGAGAATACTTTAAAAAAAAGATAGGGTTTATATGGAGCAATTAGCTGAAGTGGAGTTTCACAAACTAGTATAGGGATTGCTCTTACTTTCCATACAGTAATCCCCTCGCCTGTTTTCAACACACTCCTTGCAGCGGCCGGTAATCTGACAATCCTGTTCAACACATGTCATACTACACACGTAATCACATGTCACACCGTATCTCCTTCTCGAACACTCTGAAATTTAATGAATTTATAAGGACAACACTTACATTATTTCAAAAACAGTTGCGAAATGATTTTGGTCTATTTATATTCCGGTAATACAATTAATTTAGGAATTTATATGATAAAATTTGTGTGTGGAATTTATCTTTTTTTTTACAAATAAGCACGCACGCACGCACGCGCACGCACACACTCACAAAATCATATATATATATATATATATATATATATATATATATATATATATATATATATTTATTTATTTATTTATTTATTTATTTATTTATATTTATATGTGGCATATATAGACTATGAATATGCTAATATGTATAATATGTAAGATTGTACAAACAATATAAAATTTATTTAATGTACCTCCAAACGCTTGTATTTCACATAGCGAAAGCGAATCATTGGTACTTAAGGCTAACTTCATGATCTTTCGACTATTCTCAACGTAGATTGTGTGAAGGACAGAAACGCTGTCAATTTCTTTTGTAAAAGCTATCAAATCGTTATAATCGTAGAGTTCAACTTTAAAATGTTCCATCTGTGGCGTCGAGGTTTCTAGTAGAACAATAAATAATTTTTAAAAAATTAAATTTTCATAGTAACAACATTATTACGGGAAGTATAATCAGAAGTAACGTGTAGGCATTTAAAGACATCTACGATTTTAATAAATGTTAATCGGCGCGGATCCGAAACGTAACTCACATAATATTGTTTCGCAACTAAAAAAAAGAAAAATATGCTAACTCAAAGCCGTCATAAATCAGTTTACTTAATTAAGTATTGGCATTGAATAGATCAATACTTTTTTTTTTTAAATGTTGAAATGTAGGCCTACCTCAACGCTACTTGTTTTACATAAATATGTGAATTGTACAAGGCACGTGTTAAATCTACGTTTTCTAGTTTTTAGCACTGAACATTTTAAAAATAATGTAAAAAAAAAACTTTATTTCGATGATTATATACAACTTTCATTGTATGTGCAGCTTTGCAAAGTTTGTATTTCAAACAGTTCTCTTTCAATAATAAATTTAAATACCCAAGTTTTTTTTTCAGTTTATACTTAGAAAACTGGAAAGGTAAAATATCATTTAGATGTAAAATTTAAATAAAGATAAATTTGATTTTTAAATGTATCTTATACTGGAAAGGCGAAATATCATTTAGATGAAAAGATTAAACAAATATAAATTTAATTTTTAATGTATCTTATATTCTTATACTTTGAAAACTGGAAAGGCCAAATTTCATTTAGATGAAAAAATTTAAAAAATATATGTAATATGTAAATAAGTATGGTGCAATTTCGCTGCAAACATACATTTCAGTTTCGGCCCCCAAAGGCTTAGCCGGGCCGCTGAGGGCCCTGTAATATATTTTTTTTCAATAGTCAGAAAAATTAACCAAGGTTAGATTATTAACTGGGTTGTTTCCTTTTATCCGTAAAAAGTCCAAACGGTTTCGTCACTTTGCGAATGATGCAATTATACACCATTAGTAATGCAACAAATTGCATCAGTCACACTGATGTTTATAAAACGTCAAATAATTTTTTTTTCTACGTGTTTAAGAATAAATCCTGTTGATTTGTGTAATTTTATATTCAAATAACTCACATTTACGAAACAAGGTCAGGCGTCTAAGAATATATGATTGGTAACGCATTGATGAAACCCTTCTTATATATTTCAACAGACTTTCTTCTATTCCCACGGCAACGCGCGGGGACGGGTATACTAGTTAATAAATAAAAATACCCAAGTATTTTTTCGTTTTTTTATTTCAGTTTATACTTCGAAAATTAGAAAGGCAAAATATCATTTAGATGAAAAAATTAAATAAATATAAATTTTTAATTAAAATTTATCTTATACTCTTACCACTGGTATATATCAGAATTCGCTTAATTATTCTTGGCCAATTAAATATTGATTTCCAGATTATTTGTCGACCAGACTGATTTATCGACAAACAGTTATCGTCGTCTACGTTTCCATCTAATACTTTCATGTAATTAACAGCCGGGATGTTAATTGAATTTGAAGAGATAAAAACTTTGGATTCTTTTAAAACATTTCTACCTGTTTGAATATGAAAATAATATGCAATTATTTTTTAAATAGAGCGGGAGTGATCTCCCCTAAACTTTCTCGAAAACTCTTAGATAACATTAATGGGGATGGCAACTCCTGTGCAAACGGGATACAGGTATGTTTTTTTCATCGCTTTTAAAATACTTGAATAGAATGTAAAATAGTGCAACATTAGTACTTTATAAAGAAAATCTTGATTAATCGTCATGATAAACAGTTTTTTTATTCTTAACTTAAGTGAAATGTTTTAAATAAATAGGTCCCGTAGAAGTGTTCGAAGTTTCGCTCGCATGTTTCCGACCATGACGCACGATAGTTAGAGGAATCAAGTTTAAAATAAATTCGAATGCGTTTAATTGAGAAATCGGAAAGAACTTAAAGTACTACTTCCGGTCAATGGAAATCACACAAAATTTGACAAAAACTAAAGGATTAGGTCTTTTACTTATACGAAAAATTTCGTCTACCTAAATAAAACAGTATTATAGGTTTTTGAGAAACCGAAAGTAGAATAAGTGTCTTTTTCTGTTACCGGAAATCAATTAAAAGTTGATACAGAATTACGAATTTGTAAACCTAGATATAACAGAACTCAATCTATCGATCGTGTTTACAGAAAAACAGACACACATTCATCGAGACGAAATTACAAAACTAAGCTTTTCCGGCTCAGGGGGGGGGGGGGGGGGGGTGTAAAACTTCGACATTGGTGAAACTTTCAATTTCGAATTTTTGCACGATTTCAATTCTTCCCATAGACACCGTATACGAGAAAGTAAAAACTGACCAAATTGGAGGAAGAGATATAATAACGCATTTTAATTCAACATGAAGATCACTAAATAAAACAATAATTCAATGTAAACTATACTTACCACCGTTCACCCTTACTCGACAGACCATAAAAGGTACACTGAATAAAACTTTGAACGCCTTTATGATTTCTTCTCTGGTACATTCAATCTCAAACGTGGTATTATCGACCCAGAATATATTTAGTTTGTTACACAAAAACATACTACCATTTATTGTTGTATATAAAAGAGACATATTTAGCTCAGGAACTGAAATTAGATCCAATACAAATTAATTAATTATTTAATTAAAACAAACAAACAAACATGCAAACAAACACACACACACACACACACATATATATATATATATATATATATATATATATATATATATATATATATATATATATATATATATATATATATATATATATATATATGTATATATACACACACACACACACACACATATATATATGTATATATATATATATATATATATATATATATATATATATATATATATATATATATGTATGTATATATATACACACACACACACACACACACACACATATATATATATATATATATATATATATATATATATATATATATATATATATATATATATATATATATATATATATATATATAAGGACAGTTCAGGTAAGGTCAGAATTGTTTAGAGTGGGTTAGGTTAGGTTAGCTTACCTTTATATTTTAGTGCAATTCTGATCGAGAGCATATTGATCTTTTGAAATGTTGCATTAATTGTGTCGGTAGTTAAACAGGAATTTCTGGCAAGTAATTCTTTTGGATAGATTGAGTTTGCTTCAAACATCAGATCATCTGTGATGTAAACACATCTACATACTTGACGAGTGTAAACATTTAAAGACGATTAAATATTGAGTTTACTAGTTTTCGCGTTATGGGACGGATGGGCCTAGCGGTAGAGAGATAGACTACTAGCCCACTAGCCCGAAAGTCTCAAGTTTGAATCTGGGTTCAAGTCAGTAGACCGTCACTGAGACCACGGAGCTCTGATGGGTATCTAAATGGCGTTAGGAAAAGTAAAGGCGGCTGTGCATAGAGCTAAACAAACTTTATATAACAAGGTCACAGAAACAGGTTTATTCTACTTCACGTGTCCCATACAACGTACGGTTTGGCAGGGGAAATTCGCTTTACCGTTACTAGTCTTCGAATTTTCAAAAGTTTTATGTCAGCTGATAAATAAATATGATATATGATACCGTTTAGGTCATGAATATGGCACAATACATCAACGCCTCGAAATTGCAGTTTTCAAAATAATATAAATATATATATATATATATATATATATATATATATATATATATATATATTGTTTCTTTTAAATTTAGATTTTCAAAGATTGCTTAACACATAATATATTTTGTAAAATGAACAACAGTCTGTAAAAACGATTTCTGGGCTAGCAATCGTGAAACGTTCTGACGCCCCCCCCCCCCGCCCCACCCTCGTAATAAAGTCGAACTCCTCGCTTTTTACAAGCTTTTATTACACTCACTTCCTCGTCAGTCTGTCTGTCTGTCTAGATCGAAACGTCCGTGTGAAATTACAGGCAATTCTAATTAACAGATACGGATCGTAATTGGTACGTGGGTCCATACATGAAAACAATTAATCTTGACATTCAATTTGACTTAATTGGTCGCCTAATTAATTTTTAATGAATTAATTAAAATTTGGACCGAATTAGTAGGCAGTTCTACCCACACGCGTCATGACGGCCGTGTTTGTCGTGGGGCGAGGGGGGGCTCTACGTCAAAAGCGCGTCATCACGTTCCATAGGCGCGCGATGGTTTTTAGTCGGGTCAGCAGTCTAGTTCTTTACCACTAGACTACGCCATCCCATAATACTGTGACTCGTATAGTAAAACTAATCATATTATTAAAGCAAAACTGTTTTTCAAACTGTGTATCATATATTTGTTGCACACTATATTGTCTTAACATGCGTATAACTCGTTAATACTAAAAAGTATAAAAATAATAAATACCTAAAAACGTTTGTAATTACAAGCTTTTATAAATGCACCAAAAAAGAAGAAAATAATACAATTTTTATCAAATATATATATATTGAGATATTTTCTTCTGAGATATCTAGACCTTTGTCCTTGAGCTAATTTGTTAACACTAATCCTTTCTAACTAGTCAGGGAATAGCAAACAAGAAGAAGAAAATAAAAATAGATAAATGCTAACTTCAGTGATCTCTATTTATTTCCACAAATTACAACACTTAAAGTTAGCCCGCCACCGAAGTACAACAATCAGAAATATACACAACTAGCTACAACAACTAAAGTTCTTAGTACGACTACCCTACTTGTCCCTAACTGTCTAACTAGCCTAGGTCTACTACAGTACAGGCATCTCTTGGCTGTCCACTAGCTCACAGAGACGCCCAAAGTCTGTTTCCTCTAGACCTAGCTATCCGAGTCCGTCTCCGTGTGTAAGTGACTTGTGAGTCTCCCTGAGTGTCCCCCAGTCTGCCGTCTACCCCTCCTTAAATAACGGACTCACGAATGTCCAGGTGCGAAGCTAATTATGCACCAACACGTCCCACTCAAGCCTAACCTAATTAAATGTCGCCAACAGGTCTGGGGTACCTGATTAAATTGTCAGACCCTGCTAATATACTACCCCCATTACGGTCGCCCAGGCCAACTAGTAATGTGTCTTCTACACCTACCCACATTGATGCCGTCGTCCGTAAATGTAACCTAATTCTAACACGTGCCTCGTTGATTGTCTCCATCCAGACCTAATCAATCTGGGTCACGTCTGTTGTCAACCCTACAACTGCTATATACGCCCCCACAGTCGTAACAATATATATATATATATATATATATATATATATATATATATATATATATATATATATATATATATGTTAGGGGTTCTTCGAGAAATAGATATCTTATATCCCACTTCTGACACCAAATGTTAGAAGCGGGGATTAAACCGAAGAGGTGATCTTATTCACTCAAACGTGCACCTTTGCGTGGTGACAAAGGGGTCTAATAAGACCTGAGCAAAACTAATTAAAATCTAAACAACACCAATATTAAACTAAAAATAAAACATAGTAAACACACATAATATGCATTTATTTATCTTTGTTTGACGTCACAAAGGTTTATATGTCAAAAGCAAAGACACAATACGAATAAGACCTGGCCAGTCTTTCATATTCAAGAAAACATCACTTGAATTTCTAATACAAGTCAAAAAGACACAAATAATCAAACTTACAGTTCAATGCAGAATTAGTCACCGTGGTAACTGACATTAATTCATAGAAAACACATATATAAGTGTGAATAGTAAATCTACATTTACACAACTCAGAATTCACACATGTCATATCCTCTAGTCCTAACTTAAATACTTGTACTGCTTATGTAATCTCAGAATCACACTTGTCAAAGTTATTCATCCTAGTCCTAATTTCACTTGTACTGCTATGTAATCTCAAAATCAAAAACGTAAATGTCATCGTCTCTAGTTCTATCTTTACTACTTGCACTGTTATGTAATCCCAGGATCACACGGGTAAATGTTATCATCACTAATTCTGATTCCACTAATCAAACACGGTTAAAGTTCATCTATGAATACTCATCAGTACTCCCAAAAGTCTAGCTCGATACTCGAGCGGCAAGAAGTTTCCAGCCACTGAAATAAACATTGAGCCACTGGTACAAACATCAGTCCACAAAGATAATGGCCACTGGAACGAAGAACATATCTACACGGCAGGAAGATTTCCAGCCACTGGAATAAAACATCTGGCCACTGGTACAAACATCGGGCCACAAAGATAATGGCCACTGGAACGAAGAACATATCTACACGGCAGACGCTGGCCACTGGTACAACATTGGCCACATGTATAAACATAGGTCACATATGTAAATATCTGGAACGAAGCACATATGTACAGCAACAAAACATCGGCTGGGACAATAATCCAGCCTTAGTGGCCAGCCCTAAAGGCTGCCACCATCCGAGGCCTAGACCATCGTGTCTAGCCTCAGCTATGTGTGTAGGAGAGAGAGCGACCTCAACATAGTCGCCCTTCCTCATATATAGGTTAGTCTTGCCCCCCTTATCATCTC